GGAGCGGCGAACCGCGGCCAGTGGGAGCCGCGATCGACCGAACCTGCGGACGCAGCAGGTAAACAAACTGGCCCGGCCCACCAGGGTGCTTACCCTGGCGAGCCGTGTGCCAGAGGTTGCCAACCCCTGTTCTAAATTGTGATGCATTCAGATTCTTGAGCACAGTCTTATTCTTCTTAGTGTATGCACGACATGCCTCAGGTGGCACGTGACCAGAATGTATCACGAAATTCGCTGGTTGGATCATTAGCTTGCCTGGGCTGGGTACTGACATAATGTGAGCCAGATAAGTACCTAATATAAAGAGATTAACCATCAGAAATCTGATATTTACCAATTGCTCCAGTTTCTGCAGTGTAGTCTAGGGGCTGGCCTCTGCACAAGGTGTCTGTGAGACCTCTCTGTTGGGTTGCAACCCAGATAATTCCTCTCAGAAGATCCTCATATTAATTAATTCTTAAAAGCATGGCCTTCAGGCTTACTCCAATTCAATTACCAATCTGCAGCTGGAATCTCATTCAGATTGTCTGGCCTGGTGCCATTCCATGGCACACACCTGGTGCCATGGTGTGGTCCTGCAGGCACCTCACCCTCAGCTTCCGAGGTTCTTGAAATAACTTGTTCACAGGCCAGAATACTTAAGTACTCAAATATTCTTATTTATTTTGTCTTTTTCAGAATACAGACTTTGTCCCCCCAGTTCCAAATTCTTCTTCTTTTTGGGAGCCAGTGCTATGACTTGGGCAAAGTCTCTTCTCCTTGGTTCAGGAGTCCCACATCCTTCTTGGGGCCTATACTGTGATTTAAGGCCAGCTTCCCCCAGCCCATCAGTAGCCAGGTTCTAGCTCTGTTTAACAGATCTCCTCTTGGTTCAGCAGCCCACAGCCTTCCTACGGGGGCTGTGCTGGTAGATATTCTCCTTTCCAAGCTGTCTGCCCTCTCTCCTCCCCCTCTGACTCTCAGTTTCTAGAGGCTTCTCTCTTATCTCCACCTTGATTTAGCCACATGACGTGCCTGTCCTGTATCTGATGATTTTCCCCACCTGGGAGGAGAACAGAGGGAATCATAGGTGAGCCTGGACCTATTACTTCTTAAAGGAGCTAGTCACCCTGTGACAGATTGCAAATTCTCTTTCCTTGCTTGTAGATAATTATATTTGTAGTGTCTTAGTACACTTGTTTTTAATATTAGTACAGCTTCAGGATAGCCAATTTTGGCAGACTTTCACTGGTTTGGTAGTTATGAAAGGAGGTGGGCCCTGCTGAATTAATCTCAGAACTACATGGGGAAGACCATTCTACAGGGTGGGACTGCCAGATATACTGTGTCTATTAACTTTAGTTCTGAGAAAAATTTCTCTCTCTCCCCCCCCCCCCCTCTTTTTTTTCCCCCTCTCCCAATGAAAAAAAAAAAAAAATTCAGCTGGTTTATTTTAGCCAATTGAGCACACTAAGTATTCGTATCCTGAGGCAATTTATGCTGCATTGGACCTTCAGTAGTAATTTTATGTTGACTGAGCAACATAACATTTAATTGTATAGTACCTAACCATGCCAATAATGATGGATAATTAATCTCTTGTGGAAATCTATCCCCTTAAAATGGTCTTTTTTTCTTTGTTTAACTTTTTCATTTTTAATTCTTGTTTATTTACAGATGCTGGATTAGAAGTGAAAGTAAAAGACCCTCCAAAAGGGATGATACCACCTGGAACGCAGCTTGTCAAACCAAAAGCAGAACCTCAACCAAACAAGGTTTGGAGAACTAAGAATCCAAATAACTTGGATTCTTTGTATATTTTGGTGGGTTAAAATGGTAGTTCTAAACTAGACTAATTGCAAGTCACCTTTATGTACTGAATGCCCACACACAAAAAAGGAGGGGAATTTCAACGTGTTTCTAGTTAACCTCTTTTCCTCAAATTGCAAACTCACGCAGTAACTGGCTTCCATGTGGTTTGACACCCAAGCATGCAGATCATTGGTGACTCCACGCCTGTCATTACACAGCACTGAGACGGTTTACAAAAGGAATGGTAATGTTTTTATTCAGCACTATGATTTATATGAGACACAAAAGAATTTAGAGAGACTTCCACATTTATGTTTTAGTAATCCTCTCTTCTCTGTCACTGGAAATAAAATCTTATATTTGTCTGTTTCCCTCTCCCTGAATTGTGTTCTCTACCTCCTCTCACATTTTCTCTATTCTTTCTCCTCTAAATTATTTCTTCCCCAAGCCCCTTTTTTAAACGTACCCTATCTGTAATTTATAACTTTCCCTCATTGGCCAACCCTCTACACATGCTCACATAAGATTTTGAAATGTCACCCACACACCCTCCCTCCCTCAGCCTTGTGAGCTCGGGAAAAAGAGAACTTCAAGTTGGAACTGGCCAGAGATGTGAGCCAGCCAGTGCAGAAGCAGTTTCAGCAGGAACCTATATCCACTGATGTCATCAGACTGCTCTACAGCTTTTACACAAATGTTCTTTCTCCTATGCCGATTGGTTGTTTGCTACTTCTCTGTCCTTCTTCCCTCAGTGTCTTCTCTGTCATTTCACCTGCCTACCATGCTCCTTTCCTCCTTTTTTCCCCTATCCCCCTTATCTTCCTCCCCATCACATCCATGAACTCTTAAGTATTCCATTATTTCTGGTGTAATGTTATACTTGTGGCTGCAAATGTGGCTACCAATCTATCTGAAGAAATTCCAGCATCTGCCATGTCGTGAAGTGCACTGGAGATAAGCAATTCAGAGGGAGATGAGTGAGCGGGAAAAAGCAACTGTTCTAGATACCCAATGGGGTAGGGAATGACCCTTGCTGTTGTCATGGATCATTTTTGACAAATGGTTGCTCAAACTAATATCCAAAGAACTTGCTCTGGACTTCATCTTGGATCCATTGAGGCAGATTCTGCAGAATTGAAAGCCACCAAGACAGCCCCAGAAATTTACAGATGTGCTCCTCCTCACATTTTATGTGCCACAGAGAGAAGCCTTTATACATCTTCATTTTAGCATTTTGTTTTGAGGTATCCTCCATCTTTTTCATGGTTCTAAAGATATTAGGCAATCTGAATGGTTTGCCAAGCATTCAACAAGTGCATGAAATGTCATTAGTTGCAAATGCAGACCCTTTTATCAGTCTTCATGACCCTGCCACTGGGAGAATTTAATTACTTCATTTCAGCTGAAGAGAGACACTTGTGTCTCATTTAGACTGAATCAAGGGTTTCTTTAGAAAAGAATAAAATTTACAAAAATGACTGCAAGAGGTTGCAGAAGGAAAGGACAGATTACAGGGTGCTGACAGTAGTAAAGCATACTAATCTATATAGGGATGCATCCCTTCTGTATAGGGATTGATTTGCAGTCCTGACTTGTTTTTCGTGAGCAGATCACCCTTTTTGGCTGAGGCAATCTAGAGATTTATTTTGGACAAAACATTCCATTCTCAGTGGAAATCTTGCTTGGTCTAATTAACAGTAAAGAACTGGAACCAGAAAAGATTAAAATAAAATATTTTGCAGAAAAGCTATGGAATCTTCCAATTTCTTAACCAACATGACTAATCCTAAATGTACCTGAACCCCAAAGCGGTTGAAACATGGGTGACAGAACATGATTCTGAATTCATTTTTCCTTTTCTAGTATTTAAAATGGAAGGTCCAGATTTCTATTCTAAATCTTCGTTAGTGAAGGTTGTCAGTTTCATCCAGTCCTTGACCATATGGATACTCAAAACAAGTACCTCTTTTCTATGATTGTGGTGGTGATCAGAGTAATTGAATAGGCAAGAAATTCCACACTACATTCCATCAAGGGAATCCGTAAGGACAGATGCAACCTGTGGATCCTGCTTCAGTATGTTTGGTGCAACCATGAGAAGAACAGTATCAGTAACTAACTGGATCTGAGGGCAGCCAAACTGGTACAGTAACATATTTTGATGATTGTGCACTCATGTAGGATACCAGAAAAGAGGAATAAGAAGTCAGTTTCTAATATTGGAAGCAAGGAAATTCTCCTCATCAGCAGAAAAACTTCTTATGCTAACTGTGTCACATCTAGAGGGAGCTCATGAGTTAAGGGGAATTGTAACCTGAACAATAAGACCTTCTACTGGATATCCTCCATGCTGCAGGAACCTCAGGTAGACCTGTTTGTATCAGCCCCAAACAGGAAGTCAGGGAAATACTTGTCTAGAATGAGTAACAGCAGGGCTCTGGCAGTGGATGGTACACTATGACAGGTGTGGACGCCTCAACTGCTGTTCTCCCCTCCCCCTCCCGTCCCCCAACTCGTTTATTTCCAAAGGTCTTATAAAAATATTGATATTCCTTGCCACACACTTGAGTTGGAGGCCATGGTTCTCCAAAAATAGACCAGATATTAGTTTGAGGACCGTTAAACTTGATGATCAGAACATACTTGTAGATAGGGATTGATTCACAGTCCAGACCTGTTTTTCATGAGCACATAAGCTTCTTTGGCTTAGAAAACCTAGAGCAGTTTTGGACAAAACATCAAAATATTTATAGCACCTTTTTACAAAACAAGCAAAAACTTTCATACTTGACGATATGGCTTGGAATCAATATGGAACAAAACTCAATGAATTGACAATGTGCCTGACACTGTACTAGACACAAAATGGAGACAATATAATGGAAACAGACAGATGGTGGGCTCCACTTGGAAGCCCAGGGCATGTCTACACTTACCAGGTATCGATGCTGCGGGGGTTGATTTAGTGGGTCTATTGAAGACCCACTAAATCGATCGCAGATCGCTCTCCCATCGACTCCGGTACTCCACTGGAACGAGAAGCATAAGGTAAGTTGACGGGAAAGTAGACACCACAGTTAGTCGACCTAAGCTACATCGCTGGAGTTGCGTAACTTAGGTTGACTTGCCCCCATAGTGTATACGAGGCCTCAGAGGAAGAAATAATTTGAAGATTTTTTTGGATGGAGGGAAGAAGGGGTTATTGGAATATTTTATTTGGTTCACTTCTTGTGGGCTCCATGGAAGAAGTGAATGGTCAGAAATAACTTTTAAATTAAGAGAAGAGCTGTGGCTTGAGCACTGGTTGATGTAGAGGACATTCAGTACATAGGGGGCAGAGTGGGGGAAAAAGGAGACTAACAGAGCATTGTGGCTGGCATCATGGGCAAAGAGGAGGTCATTGCTGAATCAGTGGAGCCTTCTAATCTGTAGTATATTGTAGTTCCTTCAGTCTGTCAGCAGTTCTAAACCTCATTTACTTCTAACTACAGTTAGAAACCCTGAAATTGGCTGCTGCAGGGAAAACAACCTCTCCTCAGTCATCTGCATATCTCTGAGCCATAGTGTTAAATCCATCATAGATTGTGTCTCCCTGGAACTAAAATCTGTAATTCCAAGATTTTACCCATCCACCATTTGAATCGTTGCACTCCTTCACTTTTTGGGTGCTAATACAGCAATCCTAGTTCCCATAGCTTTGGCAACAAGTTGGGGACGCTGTCAGTAGTGAATTAACACCGCATTTTAAGAAGATCAATGGTGTTATGAGAATTACAACTTAGGTCAACTTACAGCAGTATCTACACCGAGTGTCTCCCGTAGACATCGCTTCGGTTCCTTGGGGAGGTGGAGTACAGACATCAACAGGAGAGCGCACTCCCATTGACTTAGCATGTCTTCACTAGACTCGCCAAATTGACACTGCTGCATTGATTGCAGCAGTGCCGATTTAGCTGGTAGTGTAGACATGGCCTTTGTGCTGCCTGCTGGAAGAGAGATCTTTCTTTAGATCCCTTGAGGGAGAGGATTGCTAATATGAACAAAATGCTAAATATAGTATCTTGAAGTAAACAGATGTACAGAAAAGATGTAAGGATCATATTTTGCTTTAATTTATTACTATTTTCTATAAGGATTTTTTCAAATGAAAATGTTTGTAAAAAGCATTACAAATACTTTTAGGAACTTAATATAGTTTCTTTTTAAAAGAAGATTAATGCACTTCAGAAGGCTTAAATATCTTGAATACTTTTTTTTTCTTATCAACATGATTCAAAGGGTCAGTAAAGATTTTGTGTTACAGTATTGTCAGTTTTTACATGAAAAGTTTGTTGATGCTGGAAAACTTAGTTTTAAAATATAGATTGCAAGAGTGAGGAAGAACACACTCCTTAGACTGTATGTGTATCTTAAACCACTAAGCTTCAAGAGTTTAAATTCACCCAGCATAGGGCAGAAATCTGATAGTGGGGTAGGTTGGGAGAAGAATGGCAGTAAGAAGATTTGGGTGCAATAGGGACTATTGCAAATCAAAACAGCAATAAGGAGGGCCTGATGTAAACTTGCTATGAGGAAGGGATAAGCAACTGGATGGTTACGGCACAGATACAATGAGGGATAGCTACTGGCTTCAGATTGGTGTTTGAAACATTATTTAGCCAAATTTTGACAGATATCAATTAGAAACAATATTTCACCAAAGCTGTAAAGTTGAGATGCTCCACCAAATAGAAACTATAGTGATCTTGGGCTGTACAGTTATTGCGGTTTATGGACCCGTAAAAAAAAAAAAAACCTAACATTGAAACTTTAAAGAAATAAAATGTGAAGATAATTCATAGAAATTTCTGATGTTCTTATGTTCATATAATAGATGTTGTTTTAGTTGAGCATAGTTTTGCTATAAGATTTTTTTTATCCGTTATAAATAAAAACGGAAGCTTTATACAGCAGCCATGGGAAACTAGCAACAAACTCTTGAGACTGCCATCTTATCACTGTATCATTTCAGAATCTGTTGAACCTATTTCTGTATACTCTTGAGAATTCTCTTCCAATTTTTTTCTTCCTTACTGTCTGCCTTTGCCTTTCTTAGGTTCGCAAATTTGTGGCCAAGGACAGTGCAGGGCTTCGTATCCGTAGCCACCCTTCCCTTCAGAGTGAGCAAATAGGCATAGTGAAAGTCAATGGATCCATCACTTTTATTGACGAGGTAATTCATAAGAAACTGCTGTTGGAAAAAAAAGGGGTGAAGATGTAAATAATCTATGTAAATAAATGATCTAATTTTCATGTATAGACATTGCCTTATCTGTAATTTAAACAAATGTGCATCAAATATTTAGATTTTTTTATTTTACATCAGTCCAGTTTTTCAAGATGTTATTTTACTTATTTTTATTATTTACTTTTTTTAAGACTCCTACAACAGACCTTGAGACTGCAGTCTGAAGAAGTGGAGTAGTAATAGTAAAAGCTCATTATGTTAAATGTTTGCTATGGTATCTCTAGGGATTGGCTGTTCTAACATTTAATCTATATATTAAACACTACATTAAAATTTTGAAGTTGTAGAAAGTATTTTCATGAATCTTTCATTTACATTTCTGAAAGATCATAACATTGTGAGTAATTGTGCATGTACTGTCCTTATAATGTAACTTCATATTTAACTGAAGTTATAAAAGCCAAGGTGGTGCTGATGCAACATAAAAGTGAAAGGTGGGGAGAAGTAATTTTTATGAGAAAAGGCCTGACTTTAATTCTTAATGAATTTTTCTAGTGGTTCTTTTTACTTTCGCTGCCTAGTACAAGTGACTTTCACAACTTAGCTTTTTAAAACGTATTCTTCATACTGCTTTGGCATTCTTTGCTGCTTTAAATTCCTCAACACTCTTCCCTATCTTTCCATGTCTCCTACCATAATAGCAAAGAGCTTATCTCTAATGTTACCATTGCTGCCTGGTCTGAAATCTTTTAGTCCTTGCTAGCTATGTATTAGTTGCAGGAAGGCATGGCTCGTTTTTGTTGCTTGTTTCCCATAGATCCACAATGATGATGGTGTATGGCTGAGACTGAATGATGAAACAATAAAGAAGTATGTTCCTAACATGAATGGTTACACTGAAGCCTGGTGCCTCTCTTTTAACCAGCATCTTGGCAAGAGCCTTCTGGTCCCCGTTGATGTAAGTAAAAGGTGCCTTTGAAGAATACTAGCAGTACACTCTGTCCTCATTACAAGGTTTTCTTTAATTAAGGCTGCAACTGTTCAGTCCTGAGGTAAACCACACTGTACTACATATTGCCTTATATTTGTTTGAATTCTTCAGGGCTACTGTGTAATGAGGGTGGAGTGTAGAAAGGTTAAGGCCCTTTATGCTAAACATTCTCTCCCCCTCTCCCCCCCAAAAAAAAGAAAGGGGAAAAAAAAGAAACAAACAACAAAGCAGGGGCCATGACTATAATTTTGCACAGAGGATCAATCATATTAGAGAGTATGTGGTCTGCACCAATTGTTTTTTATACAAGTCTTAAACTTAATTGTTCATAACACTGCCCATTGAGGCTGTGATTTGCACACATTAGCTTAATATTTATTTGTTTTATAGATGGGGAGGAGTTTTTCATTTCATGTTTGGGTCCTTTTAGTCTTTTTCAGAATATTATTACACCCATTTTATGGCAATGCAGTACAATTGATAAGCCATCTCAGGTGAAATAGTGGTGTTACTGGGAGTAAAAATTTTACACTGTTGGAATGCTCTTTAGGTTCTACTACTTTTTCATTGATCAGTCTCTGTGGATTTCACAGTTGTCTTCACATTAGCCAGCAATGTTTTGCCATCAAAAGATTTTCCCAAAGTTTGAGGGAAAAAAATCATGTTAATGAATTTATAATAGCAATAAGCAAAATGTACATGTGTAGCTTTAAGAAGAAAAACACAAGCACTAGAATTTGAAAGTAGACAGTTCCTTCTCTTGCTTCATAGTATCTAAATGTATACATCCGTTACATCAGGAAACCAAAACCTTTAGATTTTTCCTTCTTGCCAATAAAACCATAGGTTGACAGAACATCACCTTTATTTTGGGATCTTTCCCAATAGAAATCATATCAATGGAAGTATCTGTAAACACACCGTCTTCTTCGAGTATATGTCCCTATGGGTGCCACTGTAGAATGTGCACTTGCCTGGGTGCTCTCAGTCTGAGATTTAAATTAGTAGTATCCGTTCCTGTGCATACAACCTTGAGCTCCAGAGCGAGAGTTTATAGGGAGGAGAGGCTCAGCTGCCACTTCTGTACCTTCTCAGATGCCTGCAGCTTGAGACGAAGCAACTGTGGTGTCCACTGCTTCCTAGAAGCTTCTTCTCTTGCCTTTATTTTACTTTAGTATTTAGTTTTTACTTTAATATAGTTTTGGCTTGGGGTGTGGGGTGTGTTGCCACTCCTTCCCCTAATGTCCAGCTAGGACAGATTCCTCAGTCACTTTGCTCAGTGACCTAACTTCGGGGGTATGCCGAAGGCCCCAGGATTCAAACCTTTCCAGTCTTGCTTTAGATGTTTCCCCTGGAGCAACAGACACTCCAGCTATCACTGGTGTCTCAGACATTCAAACATCCCGTCCATGTGCAAGGTTGGCATGAGGTTTAAAAGCAGATTTCTCAAAGAAAGAAGAGTGATGTTGGAATGTTCCCTAAGGACCAAAGGCAGGGCCGGCTCTAGGTTTTTTGCTACCCCAAGCAAAAAAAATTTTGGCTGCCCCCCACCCCAGCCCCGGGTCTCCCCCCCCCCCAACTGCACCCTCCTGCTGCCCCAGCCCTGGGTCACTGGTAACTCGCTCCCAGGGCGGGTCATTCAGCAGGAATTTTGGATGTGCACAGAACACAGACAGGATTGGTTCCCATATGGTTACAGAACTGCAGTAAAGTGGAACAATTTTCAGCTTGTGTGACTGGAGGATATCTGGATGCATATTATAAGACTGTCCTATATAAATGAGGAAAAGTTGAGGTGCCTTTATTATTCTTTTGTTCCATTCTTTGTTTCTATGGGGAATGCACTATCACGGTCTTCCTTTTAAACAAATAAAACTAAAACTTAAAAAAAAAAAAAAGCAATGGCTGTTGAAAATAGCAATTCCAGTCCTAATAACCACTGGGAAGCATTTCTTGCTCAATTTATTCTACCTTTTCTACAGCAAGTTACAGTGGATCAGTATGTTTGATTTGGGGGAAATGAAGTAACAGCTGCCCAAACTGAGCTTGAGCACTCCTGAATTTTGAGGGTGTTCAAATCTGGAAGGCAGGTGCTAGATTCCCTTTCTGAATATTAGCTATATCTGGAGAGGAAAAGTCAATTTCTGCTTCCATGGCTCAGAAGTGGAAATCCTCCTAAGTGCCTGGTACTGTATCTAAAGCTGCCCAGGTCCAGAGCCTCCCCTCCCTTACTTTTCATTTTAAATTCTAGTGGGATCCACATACCTCCCTTGCTAGGCTTCAGATAGAGAGCTGCACCGTCCATTTAGTCCCCACAATTCCTTCTTTGGGGGAGAGCCCAGGGCTGGGGCGGCAGGAGGTGCGGGGGGGGAGGGGGAAGCGCCCAGGGCTGGGGCAGCAGGAGGTGCGGGTGGGAGGAGAGCCCAGGGATGGGGTGGCAGGAGGTGCGGATGGGGGCCAGAGCTGGGGCGGCCGGGGATGCGGGGGGCGGGGGGAAGAGCTCAGGGCTGGGGCGGCAGGGGGCATGGGCGGGGGCGAGCCCAGGGCTG